AATTGTTAGAGATTAAAGAACAAATATAAACTTATCATAGATATTATTATTGTATGAAATAAAAATATAAATATAATATTTATGAATAAAATGAATATTTATGTATATTTCAAGCAATAATCAAGAAAATAGAAAGAATGATAAAAATAATAACATTATTAGTTGTAAAAAGAATATAAAGACCAATTAATAAAAACCAGAATATTATTAGAATATATTTGAATAAAAAATACTATTGAAAATAACTGTAAAAGATATAATTAACAAAAACATGAAAGAATTAATGAAATCATATGATGATCAATTGTATTGAATGTATGAATCAGAATGAACAGAAGAATTAATCTCAGACTATATTAAATGATAGATATAATCTTACCTGAAATGTTGAAGACTATTGTCTTGAAATTAAATTGATTTAATTATATTTTTTTATTATTAATTTGTATTCTAAACATCATCTAATAATTTCATTATAATATTATCATTCATTTTTATTCATACCATTTTTTTTATTTCTTAGTTCATCATTCTTGATTCATTATCACATAATGATGTTCAAAAAATAAATTAATATTAATTCAATCATTTTATCATCTATAACACTGTTTCAATTCATTGATTTTATTTTTTATTCAATTTTTTTGATTTACTCTCTTTAAATCCTCTTATATTTAATTTTATTAATTAATGATCCAAAATTATTTACTCTTAAAATAAGTAATAAAACATAAAATGAAAATGAAAGATTAAAAACAAATGATAGTGAAATATTACAATAAATATAATTTTATTTACTGTTTCACTATATCTACAGTAAATTTTTCTACTTTATTTATTAAGAAACCAAAAAAATAAAAAAGAAAACAAAAATTATTGAAATAAGAAATAAATGAAGTATTAAATAACAAAATTTATTTATTAATAAAATCCATAACAAAAAACCAAATTAAAAAAATGAAAATAAAACTAAAAAAAGAAAAAATTGAATGACAAATCCTTATGATGGTTATATTCAACAAATTTTAGAATTAAAACACCAATTAGATGAACAATCAAAACTTGTAGAAGAAGAATACTGTGATGCTTTTAACCAAATAAAAGAAATAGCATTAGCTGTTGGATTTGAAGATGATAAACCAATACAGCCATATCAAGTTGAATTTCAATTGTCACATCGTGACATAATTATGCCATCACTACCCAAAGAATTTAGTACAGCTATCGATAATTTAAAAAGAGGAAAATGCAACAGTCAGATTAGTGTTTCTGAGTTAATGAAGTCGTTAAGAGCAGAATGGCTTGGAGATGAAGTAGTTAATGGATTTATTGAGTTATTACAAAATAAAAGAATTGGATTTTTAAATTCATTCTTTTTTACAAAATTATCAAAAAATTGGAGTTTATCAGGCAATCGAATTGACTTTGAAAATAGTAAACGTTGGGTAAAAAATAATGATTTGTTTTCATATGAAAAAGTACTTATTCCAATCAACATCAGTAATACTCATTGGGTACTTAGTGTTATTGATAATGATGAACATACTATTAGTGTTTACGATTCTTTATCTGGGGGAAGGAGTTGTCAAAATATCAGTTTAAAAATAGCTGCTTTTGTTAGAAGATTAGCTGATGAAACTGGTCATTTAGGGACGTATAATATTATTGATATAGATGATAATCCAAAACAAAGTAACGGATACGATTGTGGTGCTTTTACCTGTAAATGTGCTGATTGCATTTCTTTAGGAGTGCCATTAGAGTTTACACAAAAGGATATGCCTAAATGGAGAGAGTTATTAGTTGCTCAAGTGATTGTAGGCAAATTAATAGTACCAAGAGATTAATTAATTGTTCTGATGGGTTAGTTGGTTTGTTTTACAACAAATAATCTATACGAAATGATAAAGTATTAAATTAATGAGCCAAACGATAAACTGAGATTGTTTCATTTTCAGTCATTTGAATAAGATATTGTTTTTCATCAAACATGACTAAATAAAATAAGTATTAGGAAAATCAGGAAAATTGTTAATAACAAACCAGTGACTTTAATAAGATTTCCAAGTGATGTCATCTCCATTAATCCTTTTGCACTTCGTAGAAGATTAATGACATTATTCATTTGAGTTTCATCAAGAATAACTTTTTCTGATTCAACACTCATCTGTAAGATTCGACTGAATTTCGTTTTTTCTCTTTATTTTACTATAACTGAATAATAAAAACATTTATTTTTTATTTAATGTTTTTTATTTTTACAAAAAAACTATATATATAATAAAAAAACTATTTGAAATACTACCCTATTTCTAAGAACTGAATAAAAGAACCCTTTAAGGACAACAACATGTCAGCTCCACAATGGTTTGTTCCAGTTAAAGCAGGTGATGCTAAAGTTCCAGCTTATTACCCAACTGATGATATGATTCAAGAACAAAAGAAGAAATTAAGAACAAGAAAAGGAGCTAAAATAACAGCTCTTGATAAACCAGCATGGAACCTTGAAAAATTAAGAAAAAGTATTGTACCAGGTGCTATTCTTATTATTGTTGCTGGTAAATATGCAGGAAAGAAAGTTGTTTTCTTAAAACAATGTATTAAATCAGGAGCTCTTATTGTTACTGGACCATTCAAAATCAACGGAGTTCCATTAATGAGAATTAACCAAAGATATGTTATTGCTACTTCTCAAAAGGTAGATGTTTCTAAAGTTGATACTACTGGTGTAGATGTTAAATTCTTCAAAAAGATTGCTATTAAGAAAGCTGCCTTTGGAAAAACTGTTGAAGAAGATTTTGCTAAGAAACAATATGAAGCTAAGAAAGCATTAATTGTCAAAAAACAAAAACAAGTAGATGAAAGTATTGTTGCTGAAATTAAGAAAGTTCCATACCTTAAAGAATATATGGCTTCTTACTTCACACTTAAGAATGGTGACCATCCACACCTCCTTAAATTCTAAGTGAAATTGAATATTTTGGAATTATCAATTTTTAAAAACTTTTATATATTTAAAGGATGAAAGAAAAAAGTTTAATGAAATGATATTTTTTAGAATGTTACAGTTTATTTTAAGAAATTTTCAATTGTTTAATAAGAATTAATACACAATTATATTAATTATATCATTTTACTAATAACAAAATTATATTTCCTCATATAAAAATAAACCAAAAAGAATAAAATATATCCAAAAAACTTGGTTACATTCCTTAAGCGACAACTGGGAATGCAAATTTGACCTTTTCACCAGTAATGTTCTTGTAAACAGCTGAGTAGATTGGAAGTTTAGCTTTAACTGTATTCTTTAATTTAGCATCATCAACAGCAACAAAGACAGTTTTAGAGTTAGTAACTTTCTTATGAGCTAAAGCGACATGAACTCTTTGACCAGCAACTTCGATTGGGTATAACATTTCATTCAAATAAGCTTCATGAACAGCTTTTGAAGTTCTTGATCTTGGTTTGTAATCAGTTTTTCCTGATTGTCCAACTTTCTTAGTGTGAGCGACGACTCTCTTACCAATAATGAAAACTGGTCCATTAAGTTTCTTTTCAAGGGCTTCAATAACTTTTTCGAATGAAGCTCTACAAATTCTCATCATTCTCAATGGAATAAAGATGACAGTGGCCTTTTTGTCTTTGCTAATAGTTATTTTCTTGGCACTAATTACTTTAACTCCCTTAAGTTCTGGGATACCAGCAACAGCTTCTTTAACTAATTTAGAGTAGGCATCAAATCCTGGTTTCTTAACAACAACTTCAGTTGAAACTTGTGCCCTAGCAGCGGATTTAGCAGCAGTCATCTTGCCAGACATGGTCTCACTGATTCTTTTCTCAGTTCAGGGTTCTTTCCTTTATTCTACTGAAAGGGTTAATATAGCTTTTTTTAACTTATTTTACTATTTATTTTAACTTTGATATTTTTTTATTGAAAAAATATGTTTTAGGGTTTCCTCTTTTCATGAATTTTTCTAAGACAATTCTTTTCTTTTCGTTATATCTTAAAAATATTTAGTTTTTATGGGTTCTCAACAGAGTCAACCAAACTCAATTCATTGTACTGGACCTACTTTACAAACTATTCAAGAACAAAACAACAAAATGTTTAATATGCTCGATAAAATTAAAACCCAGTTAATTGATTTAGAACACAAGCAAATTGAGATTATTAATAAAATGGATCATTACATGAAAGAATTCAACAGTTTCAAAAATGATGAAGTTTTTAAGAAAAACAATAAACATCATAAAGAAAAAAATAACGATGAAAAGAAACCGAAAAAAAACAAACAACTTAAATCTCCTAAAATTAATGATATATCTCGAGAAGAGTACTTAAAAGAAGTTTTTGGTTTAAACAGTGAGATCAATAGTTGTGTTCCTATTGAAGGTGCTCAGTTAAATATTTCTAGAGAGATTTATCTCCCAGATGAAATGGAAGCAAATGAAATTGATCAGTACATTGAAAAAATTCAAAAAAAGACTTTATGTAAAAGAAGCTATTCTAATAAACAAGAGAAAGAAAACAATGTACAATAAAAATGGTATAAGAATAGTTGTTTGTTATAGTGTATTTACTCTCAAAGAACTAAAAAAAAGGTAAATATGGGTTTGTAGTGTCTTTTAAATAAAAATTTACTTATTTTCAATCATACTTGCTGATGCTCTTTCTTTTCTCTTTGAAAATGATTCTCGATATTTTTGAAGATTTAATTCTCTTGAATTAATTCCAGAAGACAACCTTTCTTTTCTCATTACTTCACGGTCAAGTGGTGTTAAAGAACTTCTTCTTTTTCTTTTAGCAATTTGTTTTTTTATCTCTTCTTTTTCTTCATCTGATAATTGAATGTCTTGATTAATTGGAGTTGCATTAAAATTAGTAAAGACAGGAAGTTTTATTTGATGGTTTTCATTTTGGTCTGTTTCAGACAAATCCAACCCACTAAGTTTATTTGAAGCAGCTTTGTTTTCTGGAGTTTCATTATTAATAAAACCACTGTGTTGATTTAAATCCACTGGTTCTATTTGACTAGGCTGATTTAAATCAATAGGATTTGATTCCATTGGTTGTACAGTAACTATTTTTTTGTTTTGTTCCTTCAAACTGATACTACTTTTTTTCATTAAAGAAAGACTTTTTCTCTTTAAAGAAGATTTTGACTTTCTTTGTAAACTTTTTTTAAGACTATTATGAAGGCTTTTTGATTTTCGTATTTGAAGTTGTTTTTTCTTTAAAAATGATGGGATATGGACTTCATGTCCTCCAACTACTTTAACATTTTTATGTAACGCGTTTTGAATTTCATTAGCAGCTAATGTTAGTTTTGGCATTGCTACAGGTTTTGGTGCTAATGTTAATTTTCTTTTACTTATACTTTTTTCAGTTTGAAGATTAGGATGTGCGGGGTCTTTTGGTTTGTATAATGGTTTTTTAGCATGATGTAAAAGTTCTTGTTGTGGTCTTTTTCCTGACATATGTTTTTAATAACTTTATTGATTTTTTTTGTTTTTACATAGGTTTTTTTATCGTTCCATCTTTTTTAATTATAATTATCACTCAAATGATTTCTTTGTTATATTTTATTGTATTTTTTTTAATTATTAAAATAACATAAAATTAATATGTTTTAAATACCAATAAGATAATTAATATTTGTGTTATAAGTAAAAACAAAATCATGCAGGTGTTGGTGTTATTGATGCTTCAATTCCACCAAGTAACTGTTTAGTGTAATCATAATATAAGTCAAGAAAATGAACTACACCACCTTCATCTTTTTGCATTTTAGCGTCAATAGTTTCATCATTAAATTCTTCATCATTAGAAAAGAACGGTTTAGCAAATCCCCATTTTTCATCAATTGGGGTATTTACTTTAAACACAAGAACTAGTTTAGGATCTTTTAGGATTTGACTCAATGCATTAGTTACAATTACTTTATCTTCCTTACATTCATAACCAAAGAACTGATACATATTACAGTATCTAGCTATTTCTTTAAGTGTTTCTTCAAATTGGTCATTGTATTTAGGATGTTCTTTAACAAATACAGCAATTGACTCTGAATTACTTGTCATCATTTTCTTTAATTCATTTCTATGTTCATCAGCTAAACTTGGTTTTTGTGGTGATTCCATTACTTTTTTATTTTCTTTTTTCTTTCTTTTTCCTGTAGTTGAAGAAACAATACTACCAGTTTTTGATCTACTATCTTCCTCTTTAATACCTATTGACATGTTATGGTTTGACGATTTTACTGATGGAGTTGTTACTTTAGGTGGTAGAGTTGAAGCAATAACATATGTTTTTGGATTTACGCTAATACCTCTATTTAGTACTTGTGAGATAGGTGCCATAAAATTAGCTTGTAAATCTAATTGTTGTTGAATGGTAAAAGAATCTACATTCTCTCCATTTGATTTCAAAATAAATTTAGGATTTGTGTTTCCTGGTCTAAATGTTGTTTCTATTACATTTTTTGTTCCAGGAATTGTAGGTTGGAACCCTCCATGAGCAAATTGAATTGGCCTTTGACGTTGTTGTTGAAATTGAAGGTGTGGAGCTATTGGATTATATGTAAACTGTCCAATAACAGGGGTGTTAATTGCTGTCAAATTTGAAATATTTTGACTTGTTTGGAATTCTTGTTGAGTTCGTTGTTTAAAATTAGGCTGAATAGGAGTAGTAATTCCTTGTTGTGGTTGAGTTATTTGTGTTGGTTGTTGAGGGTTTATTTGGTTTTGATTTAATTGAGCTGTTTGGTTAACGTTTAATTGTGTAGCTTGTGTTGGAGCAAATCGTAACCCACTTTGTTGTTGAGGAATAGTATTTCCAGTTTCTTTTACTTGTTGTAACATAATATTTGGATTAATCATTACATTCGAAGAAGGATAGTTAAATAAAACTCTTTGACCAGAGTTGTTAATAGTTTGAAATGTATTTTGGTTTGGATTAGAAATAGATTGTTGTTTAGTTGTTTGTTGTTGGGATTGAGTATTTATAATATTACTTGAGAGTTGTTGTGGTATAGTGTGTTGGGGTTGTTGGTTTAAATTTTGTTGAAGTTGAGGATTAATTTGTTGTAATATTTGAGGTTGTTGAATTGGTTGACCTGTAGTTGTATTTTGAAGAGTATTTGTTGGTACTATTTTTTGGAAATTTCTAACATTTGGATTAGGTTGGAGTGTAGAATAACCAGGAGGCATTGTTATTCCAATTACATTTCTCATTGCGATAGGTTGAGGTTGAACTTTAATCTGTTGAATACCATTTGGTATTGTTGTGATATTTGGTTGACCATTAAGTGTAGGCATAGAAACTCTTTGAGTTTGTTCTTGTTGTCTATTAATATTGTTTTGTTGAATCAATTGAGTTTGGCCTGCAAGAGCTTCAACAATTCTTTGATTTTGTGGTCCAGTTGGTATGACGTATGTTGGATTTTGATAGAGGATTGTAGGTTGTCCTTTTCCTTGAGGCATTTGTTGAAAAGAAAAAACTTTTTGTTGTTGAAACTGTTGTTGTCCTTGAGGCTGTTGAGGTGGAATTTGATGAACTCCATTTTGTAGAGCAGTTGAAGGGATCATATGGTAAGTGTTTTTAAAAAGTTCGTTTGAATGATTAATGAAATGTTGTCCTTGTATTGTGTGAATCATTTGAGGATTTTGACCAGTGACCATTTGAGGAATAAATTGAATAGGTTGAGCATTTCCTGGTTGGTTTATTTTAACTTGAGTTCCATTTCCAACAGACATCTCCAAAGAAGGAAGATGACCATTAGTTTGTATAATACCATTTCTACGTTCATTTAATTCTTGTTGAAGAATAGTTTCCTAATGTATTAATACTTTTTATTTATTAAATAGAAAATAATACAACAAACAGGTATATTTCCCATTACATTAGTACTGTTAGGTTTAGTAGTAATAGTACTTTTTGGTTGTTTAATTTTCTTTCTACTTTGTTTAGGCATTCCCTTTTAATTAAAACTTAAATCTGATTTTTAGTTTTTTTATGATTTTCCTTTTTATTACAACTTTTTAATGATTTTGTATTTAATTTTTCCTTTTTATTTTGTTTTTCTTCTTTTCGTAAAAAACAAAGATTCTACTTCTTTATTTTTTTTATTCGAGTGTGAATTTCATTATGTCTCAATTTTTTTGATATTTTTTCAAACTAACCTCAAATTATTTAAAAATTTTTTAAATTCGTTTTATATAACATAAATATTTTTCACTTAATTGTCCATCCTCCTTCAACACATTGTTTGAAAAATACTTTTCTTTTATAATATTCATCCTCTTGGTGTATTTTTTCTTTCTGAATACGAAATACATCACTGTATCTTTCTCTTATTTTCATTTGACACAAACGGCTTCTTTGAGAATCGACAACTTTTTTTCCTGCACCAAACTTAACACCCCGTGCTCCTAATGTAACTTCTTCTTCCATCCCATTAATAAAATTAATGGAACTACCAGCAGCAGACAGTCCTTCAGCTTTGTGTTTTACAAGGTGGCTTGGTTGACTTAAATAAATAAAAGGTGGGATATTAATTTTGTAGTTTTTTTCTGTGAATAGAGTGTTCATTTGTATTGTTCTTACATGAATCCCTCTCATGACTGCATCTTCATCTGCTGGTTTTTCTATAATAATGAGGCTTGGTATTATCATTTCAAAATGATTAGCCAAAATTCCTCCTTGAATACCTAGAACTTCCCATTTCAATATTTTATCACTGCATGACATACTTAAAGATTTCTCTCCTTTTCCAGGTTTAATTCTTGTTTTTCCAATACCGTCTTTGATATTTTTTTCTTCCCATAAAGCAATAGTTTGTTCGATAGAATTATTTATAATCCTTTTTGCTCCAGTCTCAATATCTTTATTAATTGTTCCATTGCTTGAGATACAACAATCACCACATGGGACTTGGCTTATATAAAAGATCAAATCATATCTGTCATATCTCCACTTCCACTTTGTTTTTGTTTCACCTTTAGAAGTTGTTTTTTCTATATATTGTTCTTTAGAAATTTGTTCCAATAAAAACACTTGAAAGGCTCTTTTACAGATCACTTCAGCATGAGAATCGTTTATGATATTGGTGTTGTGTTGTTTGCTTGTAACACATTTACTTCCTGTTCCAATAGAAAGAATTTCATATTCCTTTTTTTGTTTATCAAAAGCAATAAGAGAAGCTAAAACACTCCATTCATTCTCTTGTTCTTTACCTTTTTTAGGTAATCTATCATACACTTCCTTTATTTTAAGTTGAACTTCATTAATAGTATTATTTATTCCAAAAGGCTTTTCCATTAGATGCATAATTTATTTAAATAATAAGATAAAACAGAAAAATATGAAAATTTTAGGAAAGAAGGATGACCAAGACACTAAGTATTGATCTAAAGTTTTCCTACTATTATCTTAGGATTGTGAAAACCGAAAATCTTATAGAGATGTTCAGCATGATAATCCTTGCACAGTTTTAAGTAAGATTTCATCTCCCTTAAATACCATTAGGTTTTTTTTATAATAATTTTTTTTATTATTAATTAAAACTATTTCATATTTAATCTAAAAAAAAAAGAAAAAATAAAAAGTAGTTAATTAAGTATTAATAGAAATATCTTCTATTGTTCCTTGCTCAGGGGAGACTAATCCCATCCCTTCGCTTAAAAGTATTTGTTCTTCAACTTTTGGCTTATTCTTTGCTTTTAGTTGTTGAACGGTGAGAATTTTCTTTTCTCATTTTTGGTGTGGAATAGAGTATTTTAAATATCAATTATTTAAATATTCATCATTTAATTTCTTTTTAATTTCGATGGGTTTAAATTTCTTCTTCTTTGGGTTTAGATTTCTTCTTCTTTATTTTCTTATTTTAAGGAGAGTATATAATTACCACTGTATTGCTTTGGGCTAATATTCTTTTAGCCTCAACCACTTGACCCTTTTCCTTTGATAATCTTTCTTATATTATCAAATATACTTGTATTCTAACAAGTAATAATAACATCTTTATAAATACCCATTCGTTTATTGTCAATGATATTCTGTCATTGTACATAATAAACGCTGCTATTCTTGCAGTACCGGGTAAGATGTTTTTCTAACCAAACGCTACGTCATAACCAGTCCATAACTGGTGGGAATCGAAGGACGGAAATATTTTAGGGATCTGTGTGGTGTCTCTGAGGTGCTACCTTCGAATCCAAAAAAAAAAAAAAAAGAAAAAAAATAATAAAACAAAAAAAAAGATAATAAAACAAAAAAAAGATAATAAAACAAAAAATTAATCTCTTTTTGGTTTTGTAAATTCATGTTTGAAATTTGCATTTCTATCATCTCCGTCACGAGGAAAACGCTCTCCTCTAGGCTGTGTTTTTTCTATAGTTTCTCTTGGAACAGAAATGGTTGGATGAACAAATTTACACTTTTTACCATATGGACAAAATCCAAGATAAAATAAAGGACACATTAATTTTGGGACATGCCCATGTTTACATTTCTTTCCATGTTTGCAAAATCCTCTTTTATACCATTCACAAGGAATTGCTTTTTGTGGGTCTTCATGTTTAAATGGACATTCTGGTTTCTCACATTTTCCATATTTCACAAAGTGATGACAAGCAGGTGTTCTTTCTTCATCTAAACGATGAAGAAAATCACAATTAGCTCCTTTTCTACACATTCCTCTTAACCAATGTTGACATACAATTGTTTTTTCATTTGATTTAATTGTACGAGGATCTCGTTCAGTTTTAATTTCACGAAAAACACGACTGATATCCATTTTCATTATACTATTTAATTCAAGAAGTGTTTCCATTAAGGTAATGACAATTGTCTTTTAAGTTTGACACTGATTATTTTTAATCTTTAAATAACACATTTTGGTTTAAATTTTGTTATTTTATCAAAAAAAAAAATAAGAAGAAATTAAATTATTGTGATTTAATATCTTCAACCATTTTCATATATTCATCAAAGTCTAATGAACCATTTTTATCAGTGTCATAGATATCAAATGTTTCGTTTACATCTTGGATAGTAATCTTTGGGTCAATGCTTTGCAGGATGTCAAAAACTTCTTTCTTATCTAAAACACCATCCCCATTTACATCACATCTTTTAAATAATAAAACATATGGGTCTTCTTCTTCAGAGTTCTTTAAATAAAACTCAATCATATTTTTAAATTCATTGAAATCCATTTTACCATCTCCATTTTCATCTGACATATGAAATAGTGCAACTGCACTTTCTTTTTCACATCCTTCAATTAGTTGTGAACATGCCTTTACAAATTCATCAATGTCAAGATATCCAGAATGGTCTGTATCTATCATATCAAATACTTGTTTAATATCTGCTTCAGTCATCTTTTTTTGAATAAAATATAAGTTAGTTCATTTTTTTAAATAGTTCTTAGATTCCTCATTCAAATCCTCTTTGTCGGTTATTAATTTTAAGGTTAAAATAATATTATTTTAAATATTTTAACTCATTAAGAGTCTTTTTAAAGTCTTTTTTCTTAATAACTTTGTCTTATTTAAGTCTTACATCTTAACATAAAAAAGTGAAACATCTTTTCTCATTAGTACTATGTTTCATTAAATCTTATTAACAAAAAATTTCAATTTCAAATTAGGAAATTAAAGATAATAAAAAAAGAATGATACAATTTTAGTCACAGAAATGAAAGTTATAAACATAAGCTTGTTTTAATAGATACCGTAATGTACTACTATTATATTTAAAGGTATTTAGTCAATTTATTTAATTATTTATTGTTTAGTTTTTTATTTTTAAGAACTATGTAAATAATGCACTGAAAATAAGTAGTAGTACTGTTTGCTATGGTTATTTCTGGGATTTTGGTAACTCACAAACACTGTCTATTAAAACTATTTCATATTTTTCATTTAAAGTAGTTTTTGTGTAATATGAAATTCATTTATTTGATATGAAATTAAACTAAAAACCAATAAAGATAATCAAAATTTGGAAATAAGAAATAATGAGAAATGACGATATTGTTTCTTTAAAAAATTTACTTCTTTGTTTTTTTTTAGTTTTTGTTTTATGTCATGATTTATTATATGTAGTTTTATAATCTTTATTCAATACCATTTGTTTATTAACTTTATTCTTTCTTTGTATTTTGATCACTGTTTTATTTATAAAATATTCTTAATACTATTTATTATTTATATTTTAAGAATGATTTGATTATCTCATACACTTAAACAATTCTGATTCTTTTAATAAACACCACTTTATAATGAAAATCCCTTGATTCAAATGAGTTTAAGAATTGTTAATATTATAGTATAAAGAATATAACGAATAAAATATATCTCATGTATTGTATATTAACTCTCTGACATTTTCATTAAATAAAAGAAATTAAAAGAAAAAACAAAGAAGAAAGAAGATAATAAAAAAATCAATTATACAATAAATACGGAGATAATTAACAGAAAAAAATATAAAACAAAAATAATAAAGAAGAACTAATTAATATTCAATCATAAAAATTCATAATTTATAATTTTTATATATTTAAGTTTTTCTCTTTTTTTTTTTGATATATTAAAAAAATTTTATGATATTTTGGTAATAACACATATTTTTCAAAGAAAAATTATTAACAAAATGATACAATAAAAAAATCTTTTAGAAGAAAGAATAATGAAAAGAAACTGTATTCATTTATTTTTAAATTTTTCTTTGGGTTTTGGTGTATCTCATAAAACCCTTACTTTTTATTTATAGTCTTATTTCATGCTTGTTATAACTACATTAATTGCAATTGCATTTGCTACTCAATGCAAAGAATTAACCCCTGGAGTTTATTCCGTTACTGATGCTTTTGAGTGTATTAATTCTGTTAGTCTTTCTCTAGAAAAAGCAACAAATATTCAACACTCATTACAGTCTCTATTTCAAACATATGTTTTTAAAGATATATTGAAGAACCCACCACAACCATCTTTTGATAGTAAGTTCTTCCCAACATTAGATATTGATGCTCAACTTGCATCTCTTCCTTTACTTGAAGACCAAGCAGTTTATCCATTTATGCAAAAAATTCAATATATTGTTGATACAACTCATGACCTTCATCTTTCATTCCGTTTAACTTCAAATGAAAATAATACATATTATTATGATAATTTTTATGCTTCACTACCTTTTACAATTGACATCGTTGATGGTAATTATATTATTCATCCTAATTCTCAACTCTCTTCTCTTGGTATTAAAATTCCAGAAGAAATTACAAACAATGATGGTAAAATTATCACATCAATCAATGGAGACAAACCTCATACATTTGTAAAGAAATGGGCAGAAGACCATGCATTCCTCAAATCACCACATGGAAGATTTACATATGCACTTGAATCAATGTCATTTGTTTCGTTAAGGTCTAATCTTCTTTCACAAGAATTTCTTTCTCAACCTATTAATATTTTATTAACAGGAGATATTTCAATTTCAACACAATACCAAATGGTGTATATTCCACCACAAACACTTAACAAACATATTGCTAGAAAAATTTCACAAAAAGAAAGAAGATCTACTGCACCAATTTCTGTTGAAGATTTTATTACTTATAAGAAGTCTGATAAGATTTTTGATTTAGAATCAGCTGATGGTAACTTAGCTTGTAAGTTTGATTCTGAAAAGAAAGTTAATACTATTGTTTTAAAGACATTCTATCCAGAAGTTGAATTTGATAATTTCTTTGAAGTATTTAATCAATGTATTAAGACTATAGATGAAAATACTAATCCTATTATTGTTATCCTTCCAATGAATGGAGGTGGATATGCTGATTTAGAAGCTAATTTTGAACAAGTCCTTGCTCCACATGCTGATGTAGATCTTATTGGAAGTGTTAGAATTTCAAAAGGAAGTGAAGGCTGTATGAAAAATGAATATGGAGAATATCTTTATGACACTGACAAATGTCAAGTTCTTTATAATGAATCAAACAAATCTGTTCCATTAGGAGAATGGTACACTCAACCAAAAGTAACTCATTATGGAGACATTGAACATGTATATTCTCAAAATACTCTTATGCATGCTTCTACAATGCTCGAAGCTAAATTAGTAAAGAATCCAAGAAATCCAACTGATGTTATTATTATGACTGATGGTTTTTGTTATTCTGCTTGTAGTGTTTTGGCTAAAGGAATGGTAAATAAAGGTAATGCCATTGTTGTTGGTTATGAAGGTGATCCTGAGTTATCTCTTGAAAGTTTTGATGCTGGAAATTCACCTACTCCAGTTATTACTCAAGACGAAGTTTTTATGGATGAGGCTAATGTTCTTGCTGAATTAGGAGGATATATGAGAATATCATTCTTTGAAACATTTGAATGGAACTATAATTACAATGAGACTATTCCAAGAGAATTTGTATTAAATCCTGTAGATGAACGAGTCAATATTTTTAAATACACTCCAAGTAAAATTGACCAATTCATTGATGAGGGATTAAAGATTTACAACAAATATCAAAATGAATGTAATCCATTAAATAAAAGACTTGTTAAAGTAGACAATGCCTGTGACAATAATATTACTGTTGAACATGCTCATGGAGGACATATTTGTGGGGACGATGGTAAATGGAGTACTGAATGTGTTGCTTCATATTGTGATCCTGGTTATAAATTTGATAGATTCAATAATAGATGTATTGTTGATGTTTGTTTCCAAGAATCAAGTTCAAGTGAAAATTTATTTAGTGATGATTTATTCTGGATAATTGTCGGATGTGTTGGCGGCTTTTTAGTTATTGGAATTATACTTGCAATTATCGTAATTATTGGAATTATTGTTCACAAGAAACATCGTTCAGATACCTATGATTCACTTTAATTTTAATTATTAGTGATTTTGTTATTGTTTTATTTTTTGTTATAAATCAACCAACTGATAAGTAAAAAAAAAATAAAACATTTTATATAAAACTACTCATAGTTCACTTTCACGTATAGTATTTCTGTTATTTTTATTGCTCAATATTTCTTGTTTAAACTAATTGTTTTTATTCAATTTTATGTCCATAGTTATTGTTGTGAATATGTAATTTCAATGAATAATCTGGTCATATATATTATTCAATTATTAAGAGATTGTTTCTTGTTATTTTATCTTTTTTTGATGTTAACCATTATTTGTTTATTTAGTTCTTGCTAAGTTTTTGTTACTTTAAAAATCATTGTAATTAACTAAATATGAATCAACAACAATGATTGAAATATATTGATTAAACTCAACACACCTCTTTTAATATTGTTTATTATTCACCGAATAATATGAGTTGAAGTATTATTGACTAATTGAATTTATCAATAGATTAAAGAATTAAGCAATGATTCCTCCCCATTCAATGACATACTTTCCTGTTGGTCTTTGTCTTTCTTCAACACTATCAATTGTTGGGAGATTATTAATATTTTCAACTTCTTCAAATTTTAATGCTATTCTATGAATTTGATTAAACCCACTTATTTTCAGTTGTGCAATTTCATTATCATATGATGAATCACAAATTGTAACTTTGTAATAATTTTTATTTAATTTTGCAATCCAGTAAACAATGAAATCATTGATTTCTCTCTCATTCATTCCCAATTTTTTTAACAATACTTCTAATTCATTAGAAATATTTTCATGTGTTATGCCAACTTCTTTTCCTTTAAACTCTTCTTTCTTCAAACAAACACCTTCCCAGAATAAATAGTCAAAGTGTTTGTTATTTATTTCAATTACACAATTTGATACTCCATCACTACAATATGTTCCTTTCCATTCATACTCTTTCTTAGTATTGTCTTCTGTGATAATTCTTGGATTTGGATAAGTAGCCCCAATATCTATTGCATCATTCAATTCTAAATGACAACAAAACTCTTCTTTCTCTTTAATTGTATCATCATACATTAGAATTACTGGTTTATCAAACCCACAAAAATCACTCCACTCCACTTCTTCAGAAACAATTTGGTCTTCTTGTTGTTGATGAGTAATAAAACTCATTTCAATTTGAGAGTTTGTTTTAAGAACACTGAAAATAGTAGAACATTCACACTCTTCTTTAAATGTAATTCTGTTTTTAATATCATAAATATGATTTATTTCATTTTCATCTATCAATCCTTCATTCCAAAACATTTCTTCACATTCAAATATATCTGTTTTGATGTGAACTTGTTTTTGAATATGAATTCTCTTTATTATTATTTTCAACAACTTATTTTTTAATTGTTCTAATGTTGTTATACCAGACATTTTAATTTCAAAAATGAATAATTCACAATTAACAGTGAATGTCTTCTTTAAAAATGTTGTATTTGTATTGAAGTCATTACAAAATTCAATATAATCAAATACAAATGGTTGATTTCCTGTATTAATATTGACAATGTTATATCTTTCTAATTCAATTGCAAAACAATTCATCTTATATTCTGTATGAATGACATTTATTAAATTTCCATTTCTTGTGTAAAATACAATTTGTTGTGATGGTATGTATCCACATCCAATAACATCACTATCTTCAAATAGTGTATTTGTATTGCTTCCTTTTGTTTCTTCATTGAATATTTTTCTATCATTAGAACTGAGTTTTACAACTCTATCTGATTTATTATCAAATCTTTTATTCAAAGTATTTAAAACCATTCCAATTGAGAAAATAGGATCTTTTCCAATAATGTGAAATTCACAGTATTGAATATCTGTTTTAATTAACTGATATTTGTTTTGTTCAACACAAACAAGTGTGTATTGTTTAGATAAATCTACAAATCCTGATAATTTCATCTGTTTAATATTTCGTAATGGCCCAACACTATCTTGAAATGAAACAAATGTGGTTGTTTGGTTCTTACCATCCATAAATACAATTCTTTGTTGAATATTATTAAGAATAAATTGTACATCTTCTTCACTCTTTGGAATGATACCATTCCAATCAATGATATCAGAAATACTAATACCAAACATTGTTTTTAACGATAAACTAGCCTTATTGATTAATAATTGATTTTCATTGGTTTGTTCGTTTTTATTAAAAACTTGTTGTTGTTCAGATGGTTTTACAATAAGTTCTTGGGTATCCATGATGTATTATTTGAATTTGAAATAGTTCTCCTTTTTATATTGTAAGATATTCATGAAAATGTTACACGTTATAGTTATTTACTATATCATAACAAGACATACCTCAAACTTTTAATAATTTAGAAAAAAGAAAAAAATAACAAAAAATAAGAATAACAAAAATAAAAATAAAAAAAAAATAAAAACTTCATGAGAACTTAAAAGAAAAAGAGAAAAAAACAAAAAAGTATATGACTTCATCTCAACAACAAATTGATCAATTGATTCAAAAGCTATATAGTAATGACAACGAAATTAAAGTACAAACATTAAAAGAAATAGATGGTGTTATTACAACACATTGGGCAGAAATATCAGAAGAACTTCCTAAATTAATTGAATTGAGTGAAACAATAGAAGGAATAGGAAAACAATATGCATATCTTGTTATTAGTAAATCATACTTTTATATTGAAAGTTATGATGAAGCAGTTAATTATGCATTAAAAGCAAATGAATTATTCAAATTTGAAGGAAATGATAATTATAGTGTAAAAATGATTACACATTTAATAGATATGTATATTAAAGAACGAAGACAAAAGAAAGAAATTGACAAATTAATGGAAGAAAAAATGAATAAATTCTTTAAAGAAGCTATTGAGAAAGAAGAAGAGTATTTAACAATTGGAATTGCAATAGATTGTAGAAGAGTTGATGTTATTAAAGAGATATTAAGAAAAACTAAAGAGAAAGAAGAAATAATAGAATATCTTAAGAAAATAACTAATAGTTCAAATGTTGATTATTCATTAAAAAATGAAATTATGGAAATTATTTCAGAAAGTCTTAATGAAAATAGTCAAGTTGATTTAGAAAGTATAAGTGAATGTTGGGTAAAAAAGAATGATGGAGATGGATTTATGAAAATGTTTAATCAATTAAGTGAAGAAATGAAAAAACAAGTATTACTTGATTATGAAGGAATTCCACAAAAATTTAGAGAAGAATTAATAAGTAAATTACCAGAGAAATATCATAAATATATTGATGGAAAAATTCAAGAAAAATTATATTTAGACTTTTTATTCTCTAGAGATAAAACTGATAATTTATTATTAAATAATATTAAATCATCAAATTGTATTAAAAGTAGTGTAATTCAAACAGCAGTATTATATGCTAATGCATTTATGCATTATGGAACAACTAATATTATGTTTTTAAAAGATAATAATGATTGGATTATTAATGCAAGTAATTGGGGAAAATTTGCTACTACAGCTTCACTTGGAGTTTTATTTAAAGGAAGAGAAAATGAAGCAATTAATTTAATGTCACCATATACAGCTAATGGAACAGGAGGAAAAAGTGTTTATGCACAATCAGGAAGATTATATGCATTAGGACTTATATTTGGAGGACATGGAAAAGAAATTTTAACAATAATAAATGAAGATTTAAAACAATCAAAAAGTAGTAAAAATGAAGTTCTTCAACATGGAGCATGTTTAGGAGTTGGATTAGCTGGAATTGCAACAGAAAATTATGAATTATATCAAGAAATTAAAGAAATATTAATTAATAATGATAGTGCAGTAGCAGGAATGACAGCAGGATTAGCACTTGGATTAATAATGATGGGAACAGGGAATTTAGAAGTTGCACAAGAAATGCTTACATATTGTCATGAAACAGAACATGACAAAATTATTAGAGGAACTAGTGTTGGAATAGGATTAGTAATGTTTGGAATGCAAGATAAAGCTGATGAAATTATAGAATTAATGATTAATGATACTAATAATGTATTAAGATATGGAGGAATGTATACAATTGGATTAGCATATTGTGGAACTTCTAATGAAAAAGCTATTAGTAAATTATTACATTTTGCAGTCACAGATAGAAGTGATGAAGTTAAAAGAACAGCAGTATTAGTACTTGGATTTATTTTAAATAAAAGATTAGATGAATTATGTAAAATAATTTTATTAATAATTGATTCATATAATCCACATGTTAGATATGGAGCTGCACTTGCATTAGGTATTGCAGGATGTGCATCAAATAATAGTACAGTTATTGGATTACTTGAACCATTATTAAAAGATCCAAATGATTTTGTAAAACAAGGAGCTGCTATTGCACTTGGAATGGTTTTAATGGAAACATCAATTAAAGAAAATAATAAAATTGAAACATTTATTAAAGATTTACAAAATAAAATATCATTTAAAGGTGAAGGAATGTTAACTCAATTTGGAAGTATTCTTGGATTAGGAATTGTTAATGCTGGAGGTAGAAATTGTACTATTTCAATGTATAATAATTTAGGTACATTTAATTTAAAAGCAGTTGCAGGATTAGTATTATTTAATCAATATTGGTATTGGTATCCATTTACTTTATGTCTTTCATTATCATTTATTCCAACAACAATTATTGGAGTTACAGAAGATTTACAGTATATTGAATCATATCAATATATTTCTAATGCACCATCAGATCAATTTGATTATTTACCAATAACTAAACCACCAACAAAAACTGGACATACAAAAATGAATCAAACTAAATTATCTTATGGAAATAAACAAACTGGACAATCACTTAATTTGTCTTCTAGTCTTTTAATTAGTGAAAAAATTACAAATGAAATTATTCCTGAAGAAAAGAAAATGGAAGAAGAACCAATTCAAATACAACCATTTGTTACTTTACAAAATGGAAGCAGAGTTACTCCTCGTCAACTTGAGTTTATTACTGAGATAAAAGGTAGTAGATTTGTTGGAGTTAAAAAACCAGGAAGAGGTATTTTAATTTTAAAAGATACCCAACCTCAAATGGAAGAAGAAAACTCAGGAATTATTAAAGACCAAGGAATTGAAATGACAGATGAACATAAAGCACTTGCTGATGCCTTATTATCCAATAACAATGAACCAAAACCACCAGAACCATTTGAATGGAACTTTTAATTAAAATAAAGTTATTTTGGTGTTTTTTTTTATATTATCATTTTAATTCGTTTTAAACTTAATGAAAAATAGTCTTTTGATGTTAATTAAGAATATTTAATCAAATGAAGAAGAAATTCTATTATTATTATATTCTCACAATATCATTTATTAATTTAATTGACTTATTGAAGTAATAAAGTAATATTTAATATTTATATTACAATTTCTGATATATTTATCTTATTAAATAAATAGATAATTCTTTCTTATTTATTATATTATTACATTTTTATTTATTCATTTATTATTTTTATGTTTATTGTTTATATATTGTAATAGCACAGTATTGTATAATGAAACTATTATTAGTGAATTAATATAAATGATGTTTTGAACATTGTTTCTGTTTTAATTTTTATTATTCTTTCTTCTTTATTTCATTTTTATCTTATCAATCGTGGTTATTATCTGTTTATGAAATAAATTTAATTTTAGAACGATTCACTCCTCTTGGTTATAACAAATTCTTTATATTCCTTCATTCTATTTATCTTTGTCTTATTCAAATCCAATTTATTATGAAATAGATATATATCAATACGTTTTCTTCATATTATACTAGTTAAAGTTCATACTAATACTCATTTTATGTTATTATTATCACTTCATTTCATTTGTTTTAATCTTTGTTCATTCATTATTCATTTAATTATCAATAACTTATTTATTTTTATCATTAATTTATTTGAAACAAATCTTTCTTCTTATTATTAAAACAAAACAAAAATAACTTAATATCAGAAAGTTAGGCAAAAACTGGAATAAATATCTGTCTTGATTCTGTTGCACTACATCTTGAAGCTGTGATTTGGTACCCATTGGTAAGTGTCTTGAGGTGTTGATTTCCAGTCCATACAGATCTACTATCAGATGCTTTTTTGGCTTGATAACAAAGGTCAAGATCAAGTCGATAAGGAAGATAGAAATGTCTTTTATATGTAGGCCATTCAAGAGTTTTTTTAACCCATCTTCCACCCTGATTGTATTCAATAGTTGAATGATATTCAGCATACCATTCATTTGGATATGGATGGACATAAACAAAACGTTGATTTTGAGTACCTGGTGCGTCTGATAATGGTGGATTTTTGGACCAAATAATAAGAGTTGACCCTTCATTTGCCCCTCCTCTAATATCATGTACTCTTTTTGGCATTGAATAGCATGTATACATTCTATATGGTGCAAATTCAAAGAATTGAAGTTCATTTCCTTGTTTCAATGGTCTTAATAGAATGTTTTGTTCATAATTTCCATTAGGGTATCTAACTGATCTTTTATCATCAAACTCCATATCCATAACATATCTGGTATCACCATTTATATCGTCTGCATCAGTAAATTGCCTTTGTGTTTTATAATTGTAATCAGAAGCAAAAATAACTCTACAACATGTTTTACACTTAGCACGAACATAATTTTCTTGATTTGCACTGAAAACACCATTTTCAGCAAATCTTTGAATTTGATAACTGTTTACATCACTTGTAAATTCTGAATTAAAATTTGTATTACGATTCTCCATTCCATAAGGATAGTTAGTAGAAAATTGATCTCTGTTATCAGAGGTCTTACCAATAGAATAAACTATCAATAAGAATAATGCAATCATTGATAATATTTCAAATGAGTTTATAGTTTTATAATGAATTATGAATATTTTTTTAATAGAACATCTTCTGACATACTTTTTTCACAACGAATATTCGTGGTTTATTTTTAAAAAGAAATAAAGGCTCCTCTTTTTTAAGCAAAGTTTTTTGTTAAATATAGACACAGTTTTATAAAGTCAGAATAATATTGTTCATAAACAATACAATCTTTTTAAATGATAATTAAACTAATAATTAATGTGCATTAAATAATTATTATTTTAAATTTTTGCACAGCTTTATTTAAAAGAAAAATATTTAAATATAAAAATAAATGAATATAGTTTATAATTTACTTCAATAATTTAAACATAGTTTTTTGTTTATGATTTAAATTTTAGGGTTTTGTTTTTAAAAGATTCATAGCTATTTTTTATTTATTTTATTTTTATTAAAAAGTTTTTTAATTCAAATAACACAAATTAATTATTATTATTGAATAATATCATTGAGTTTTGTAAAGAAAAAGCAGGATATAATAAAATACAAGGGGATAAAGAAGAATGAATGAAATAACAATAAAATGATAATAAAAATGGAAATATAAATACAATGAAAAAGGGTTCAAAAAGAGAAATAAGAAACGAAAAATGAATAAATATAATGATAATAAAGAAAATAGGAATAAAAATCAAAGGACATTAAGAGAGAATGAAATAAAGAGAAAAATAAGAAAATAACGCAAGTTAATTGAAAAATGAGGATATGAAGAAATAAATAAATAGAAAAGAAAAACATACAACAAGAAGTATATATAATCCTGAATAAAATGAAAATAGAGAGAGTTAAAGATGAAATTATAGAAAAAACATCTAGATCAAGAAGAAAATAATAAAAGAAAGAAACAATCGAAAGAGAGAAATAAGTAAAAGATGTAAAATACAAGAACAATAGATATGAAAGAAATAAAATAACAAGCTGTGTATTATTTTGCAATAAATTGGTTAAATAAAAAATTAAACTGGAAATTAAAAAAAGAAATTAGATATAAATCACTTATCGTTAGGTTTTTATCATGTTGAGAAGTGATTGTTTCAGTTTATTCAACACGCTTTATTTCTATTCAAATATTGTTTTTTCAAATATGCTCAACTTAAATAACACCATGGCTGTGATCTATCTTCTTTATCATTATTACTGTTTAAATAATCCATTTTTCTTAATAACACACAACGTATTCAGCATAAATCTATTACTAATAAATATAATTCAGTTGTAGTAAAATAACACAATTATCATAATAAATAAATGGTCTTTATCATAATAAACAATACCTCCCCAAATCGCCCATCATAAATAATAACCAACTAACCTTGAATGGGGCATTATCTCACCAAGGTAACTTCATGAAAAGACAATAACTGATGATTCAAAGCTTGGACGATTTTTAGGGTTCTGTGTAGTGTATCTGATGTGACACCTTAGAACCTATGCTGAAGGTATCAAGTTAAATAACTAAAATCGAATTGATAAAATAAAAGAAGTCAATAGCCTTGTAATTAAGAACATAGCTGATGTTATAGGGCACTGTTTCTAACATCATAGAGGATACTTTGTAGAGCTGCTAGAGAACGACTCGGGACGGGATTAGTCTGCCCTGAATAGTAACAAAAGATACCTATTCTGTTAACAATAAATTAATTGCTTTTTATTAATAAAATTAGTTTTTGTCATTAACTCAGAAAAAGAAAAGGAAATGAAAAAATAAGAAATATTGTTATTTAAAACAATATATATTTTTGTATTAAATAACAAAATAAGAAAAGTAAGAAGAAAATTCAAAAGAAAAAAAGAAAATTCAAAAGAAAGAAAAAAGAAAATAGAAAAGTAAAAAGAATAAATAAATAAGTTTTTTCATCAAAATGAAAAGTCGTTTGAAAAGTAATATTAAATGTTTTTCATGAAAATTAATGATTTAAACCATACAAAACTGAAATTAATCAAATAATGATATTCTTCTTAAGTGTTATTACTTTGACATTGGCTACTGAAGTCAATTTGATGATGCCACTTGATACTGTCAATTCTAATGGAGTTAATAATAAAGGACAACTTCAAAATGATTTAAATAAAATTAAATCAGGAGGAGTTGCTGGTGTCATGGCAGATGTTTGGTGGGGACTTGTAGAAACATCACCAAGAAATTACAATTGGAATGGATATAAAGAATTAGTTCAAATGGTTAAAAATGCAGGATTAAAATTCCAAGCAGTTATGTCATTCCATAAATGTGGAGGAAATGTAGGAGATTCAGTAACAATTGAAATTCCACAATGGGTAAGAAATGCAGGAGCAGCAAATGATGCATTCTTTAAAGATAATGAAAATAATGTTAATAATGAATATATTTCATTTGCATATGATGATTCATCTATTTTTGAAGGAAGAACACCAATTGAAATTTATAAAGATTTCATGACTTCATTTAAACAAAACTTCCAAAGTTATATTGATGATGGAACAATTAATGAAATTCAAGTAGGTATGGGACCATGTGGAGAAACAAGGTATCCATCATATCCACTTTCAAGATGGAGTTATTGTGGAGTAGGAGAATTCCAATGTAACGATGGTAAATCAAAAGAATTACTTAAAAAAGCAGCAACAGCTAAAGGACATTCAGAATGGGGAAATGGATCACCATCAAATGCAGGAAATTATAATTCTAAACCACCATCATCAACAGGATTCTTTGGAAATGGATTTGACAATTATCAAAGTGAATATGGAAGATTCTTCCAAGAATGGTATTTTGACCTGTTATTAAGTCACACAGATAAAGTTCTTTCAGCAGCAAGAAATGTATTTGGAAATACACTTGCACTTGCAGGTAAAATATCAGGAGTTCATTGGTGGTATAATGATCAATCACATGCAGCAGAAATGACAGCTGGATATTATAACTCAAATGGAAATGATGCATACAAAACACTTTCTAATACATTCAAAAATAATAATGTTAGATTTGATTTTACATGTCTTGAAATGAGTGGAACTGATGGAAGTTGTGGATCATCACCAGCTAATTTAGTTGATCAAGCATTTAATGCAGCAGGAACAGTTGGAATTGGAAAATGTGGAGAAAATG